AAGCCTTGATCTTCTATCTAAGAGCCTCTTCCACCATTGAGAATGAATGCCAACTTCTGCTTCTTGACATCTCTTTAAATATATATCTATCTATATATCTGTATATATAGATATTTGAAACCAGGTTGGTTGTCTTTTGGACGGAAACTGAAATTCTGGACCCTGCTTCTCTAGGTATTTTTCTTTTCTCCAAAATCATTTTTCATGGTCTGTATTGATTTTGTTTTGGTCACCTCTTTTGAGTACTGGATTTTATTTTATTTTATTTAACTGTTTGGAAGACACCTCTTCTGTTTCTAGATCCTAGTCCACCATTGAGTATAAACACCAACTTTTACTACTTGACGTCTCTTTAAAATACATCTGAATATCTATATCTATATATAGCTATTTGAAGCCAGGTTGGTTTTTGGAAGGAAGCTGAAATTCCTGATTCCTCTTTCTTTTGCAGGTATTTTTCTTCTCTGGAAAATTATGTTTTGTGGTCTGTAATATTCATATTCTTTTCAGGAATTTTGGTTCAGTTTTGGTTACCTCTCTTGAGTACTGGATTCTTTTTAAAAACTGTTTGGAAGAAGTCACCAGCTTTTCCCTTCCCCATTTTCTTCTGAATTGTCGTTCTTTTTTATAACCTCAGCTGGAACATTTTTTGTTTTGGAAATTGCAACACTCCTGGGCACCACCAACAAGTTTCTAAATTTTGGACAGACCTTTGGGAAGAAGCCTTGCTGTCATTGCCTGCCACTTAATGTTTTCATTTCCTGTGGGGCTTTGTTTTTCTTTTTCCTTTTCCCTTCCAGTCTGAGAAAGGGCCAAGATTTTAATAAATTCTGCATTGGCCTGTTAGGTCTGAAGAAGACGCTTTTTGAAGAAGAAAAAAGAAAGAATCCTAACCGGTGGACATACTTTCTGCAGATTTACTGATATAGGAAGAAACTTGCTGGTCAGACTGAGCTTCTTTGAAAGCAAAAGAAGGAGAAGTGAACATCTTGACTACCCCAAAGACCGAAAACTTCCACATTCCTGAAGATACCCATCCTCATATCTTGATGTGGGTAAGACTGGCACACTTGATGTTATGCCCCACTTAGCTGCCATGGGGCTTTGAGGCCGAGGAGATTTCCCACTGGGAAGTGTGGGAGTTTTGGTGGAGAATCCCTGCTTTTGGCAGGAAGGACTGTGACCAAAAAAGGAGGAGGTGTTGCCCCGGCACATGAATGGCTGCCAAGGATTATGACCACTTGTTCAAACTACTCATCATTGGGGACTCGGGTAAGGACAGGTTCTTTTTATGGCACCCCTCTTTCATTCATACGACTGTCTCATTGCATTTGTGAGTCACGAATCATGAGTTTGTTTCTTGCTAAGACCTACTTTGTTGTTGTTGTGTGCCTTCAAGTCATTTCTGACTTATGGCGACCGTAAGGTGAACTTATCATGGGGTTTTCTTGGCAAGATTTGGTCAGAGGAGGTTTACTATTGCCTGCCTCTGAGGTTGAGAGCATGTGACTTACCCACGGTTACCCAGTGCATTTCATGGCCAAGCTGGGAATCGAACTCTAGTTTATAGTCCAACGCTCAAACCAGGTTGCCTACCCCTGCACTACACTATGCTGACTCTCTGCTAAGAGCTATAAGCCATCAATTCAATATAATTAAAGTAAAATACAAACCACGACAACAGTAATAAATTTAAAATAGAATGCTGGTAACAAGCAAGGGATACATACATACATACATACATACATATATATATATATATATATATACACACAAATATAAAAATATAAAATCATCTTTAATATGAATTCAATTAAAAGCCCCCAGAGCGGGTACCGTATATCTTCATCAACTCCATGCAATTCTTGTAAATGATTTTGATGCTTAATTTTGTGGCCAAGGCAAATTTTGCAACTGTAGTGGAGATATATGAATTGTTGCCTGCCAATAGGATACAAATCTGCTCAAGGGGAGCTCAATTGGAAAGGGAGTGGAGCATATGATTAAGAAACTTTAGTGTAGGGGCCATATACAGAGGGCATTACTAAAG